TTTCAACCTAAAGTCTTTCCCCTGTTCCTCAGGATCATTGGATCATAGATGCAGAGATGGAAGGGACCTCAGAAGCCATCTGAGCAAATAGCCTCATTTGCTAGATGCCCAGAGGGACATAGGTGGGCATCATCAGAGGTGGGCTTCCACCCTGACTCCTTTGACTCCATTGCCAGTGCTTGTCTGTTTTGTTTTCTTATTGAATTTCAGTATTATGGGGTCATACTGTAAGAGCCAGAATGAACCTTAGAGAAGATCTAGGCTGACCCCCTCCTATTTATATGTAAGGAAACTGACTCTCAGAGAAATTACTGGCCCAGAGTCACATTGATAGGAAGTGGCAGGGAAGGATTTGAACCCAGGTCTGTTGGCTCAAGTCCAGTGCATTTCCCACCATATGAAGTCCTTCTTCCTTAGTGAAGCAATGAGAGGTCATGAGAAGAGTACAAAATCTCACTTTTAAGGACCTGAGTTACGAAGAGGATACTTGAGAAAGCCCATTTGGGAAGCCATATTTGGGATAGACAAGAATAGTGAGTGACAATAATCATAAGCCCCACATTTGAAGCTTTGGGGTAACCGATGCCCTTGAAGATGCTTCTGGGGTGGCCCGGGCTGTAGAATCACAGCACTGGAGGGAACTAGGGGGATCACCTTGTCCATCCCCCTCATTTAACTGGGACAGAGACCTCAAAATACAATGAAAGTTAGAATAAGAGAGAATGGCAGTGCAAAGGAAATGTTCATAGCATCAGAAGGGACCTTAGAGGCCATCCGGCCCAACTACCTAATTTTACAGATTAGGATATTGAGGCACAGGGAGGTGGAGTCACTTGCCTGAGTTCACAAAGTGGCAGAATCAGGATTTGAACCCAGGCCCTGTGACTCTAGGTCCTGTTCTCTTTCCATTCTTATACAGAGTTTAGCGACTGTCCAAATACTGGGCATACTGGGAAGTGTGAGGTTGTTAGAAGATAAACAGTATATATGTAAGAAAATTGAGGAAAGACAAGAATAAAAAAAGTGTACATATATCTATTATATATATATGTGTGTGTGTGTGTATGTATATATACACATATACACACACACACACATACACTCTGCTGCCTTTTTTCTGCCATTTAATACCTATGTGACCTTGGCCAAGTCACTTTTCACTGAGTTTCCTCACCTATAAAATAAGAAAATAAGTTTATAATAAGGAAGCCCAGGGTTCAATATTTCTGGTTACTACCTGACTTAATTTTTCAGCCTGCAATGTTTGGTTTTATTTGTCTAATTATGATGTGTGAAGAAACAAGTTCAAACTATTTTCTTGCTACTGTAATTTTTCAGCTCTGTCACAGATACACACGAAATTCTGATTCTAAGTGTCAGCTTTGTTTTTCCAGCTCTAAAACCAGTAAAACTTTAATATCTGTCTTCACCTATATTCTGTTTATCTTTTAAAGATCCGGTGACATAGTTGCTATAAGGATGATTATCCCCACTTAGCACGGTGCCTTGCACATAGTAGGTACCTAACAAATGTTTGTGGGCTTAATGACAGGTGAGGAAACTGAGTCTTTGAAAAATGAAGTCATTTGCCCAAGATTATATAATTAATCATATTCAAAGGCAAGATGGGAACCCAGTTCTCCTGGTTAAGCATTGGCCCACTTACTTAACCAACAGTGGGGATCAGTAGAGTCAAAGATTAAGAGCTGAAAGGACTATTAGAGGTGATCTTGGTCAATGCTTTCATTTTTACAGAGGAGGAAACTGAGTCCCAGAAATTTTGAGTGATTTGCCAAAGGCCATAGATTACAGTAAATGGTACTTTTAAAAAAATGATTTTTCTTTTTATATATAATAAAATATCAGCACAGCTGGAATTTGATCCCAGGTCCAGTGATTCCATACTCTGAACCACAAGGAAAAATGTTCAGAGTATGAGACCAGGAAACTAGAGAGAAAGGCTACTGGAGTCTTAAGACCAAAAGGAGATTAAGATGAGTATAAAGGATGAGAAAATCCATTCTGGGCCAAAGCTCTGGGGAGAGCTCCTGGATTAGAGAAACTGGCAAGAATAAGAAGTGATACAAAGTTATCCATTCATTGTCATGTTTCTTTGTTTCCTTTGCAGGACATTTTTGTTTATTCATTCATTTGTTCTTCCATTCAATAAGCATTTTGAAAGTGGCTATGTTGCTGATTTACAATGAATAACCAAAAAAAGTGGATTATAGCATGTGAAACTGCTATTACATGTCTGTTTCCCCCACTGTGTACAGCTTGGGGTGTGTGTGTCTGTGTGTGTGTGTATGTGTATTTAAATAATTCAAATTTAAGCTGTAGTTCTACCATTACTCTGCTTCTCTATGTACCCTTTTGAACTTCCTTCTGCTCTCTTCTATTTATTATTTTTTTTTTAGGCAATTGAGGTTAAGTGACTTGCCCAGGGTCACACAGCTAGTAAGTATCAAGTGTTTGGTCTGAGGCGATTTTAATTCAATTCAATTTCATTTACTGTAAAAAGAATGCAGGATATGGAATATGGCGACTTTGAACTCAGCTCCTCCTAACTTCAGGGCCAGTGCTCTATCCGCTGCGTTACTTAGCTGCCCCCTGTTTATTATTTTTAATGATTCATTGACATTCTTTTTTGTTTCTTAAATATCACTTTCACTACCTCTTACTTGTCCCCCAAGTTCCCCCCTCCCCAAGAAAGAAAAAAAAACTAACACCTTGCCTTGTAATAAATTAGTATAATCACACAAAACAAATCCATATGCCATCTATATCTGAAAATGTAGGTGTCCTTCTATAGTCTGAGGAAAAAGCATCAAGGAGTGCAGAGCGGTGAATGGTGACATGGGAAGTTAGGTCAGGAAGTAGGGCCCCTCCCCTGGAGCAATTTCATTGGCTGGGAAGGATAAGATCAAAAAGCTGTGATTCATGGTACATAGAGCATTGAACTTGGAGTCAGGAAGACCTGAGCGCAAATCTGGCCTCAGAGACTTACTAGCTGGGTGACCCTGGATAAATCATTTAATTGCTATTTGCCTCAGTTTCTTCATCTGTAAAGAATAAGAGTATCTACTTCCTGGGTTGTTTTGAAGATTAAATGATATAATAATGGGAAAGCTCTTATCATAGTGCCTGTCACATAGAAAGTGCTAGATAAATATTAGCTATTGTTAATTATTAATAGTCATCATCTTCATACCTGCCTCCTCCTCCTCCTTCTCCTTCTCCTTCTTCTTCTTCTTCTTCTTCTTCTTCTTCTTCTTCTTATTATTATTATTATTAGTAGTAGTAGTAGTAGTAGTAGTAGTAGTAGTAGTAGTAGTAGGTTAGATAAATAAATATAAGTAGTGTTGACCAGTGGAAAGCATGCTGGTTTCGAAGTTGGAAGACCTGGGTTCAAATCCTCGTTCTTCCATTTATTGTCTGTGTGACCTTGGACAAGTCACTTTCCCTCTCTAGTCTTCAGTTTCTTCATCTGCAAAAAGAGGGGGTTTGGCTAGGTGACTCTGAGGTCAATCTGTGATGCTGTGAAGTTACTCCTTCTCTTTGCTCTTCAGTTTCCTCATCTGTAGAAGGAGTGTGTTTGACTACATGGCCCATCCACCTCTATAACCTTATGAGGAGTTCGTGGAGGGAGCAATCACTTTCATCCTGAGGGCTCAGGGAAGGTTTCCTAGAGAGGTAACATCTGAGCTGGACCTTGAAGGAAGACTGGAAATATGGTAGATTGATGGGGAATGGAAGATGTTCTAACCTACTTTCCCAGATTTGTTTCACAGTACTCCCCCTTCCCACCCACTTCTTCTCCTCCACATATACATACAGTCTATGTTCGGGCAAACCAGCCCACTTTGCATTTCCTGTCATTACACCTCCTACTGCCATTCCTTTGCCCTAGATATGCCTATGCCTGGAATGCTCTCTGTACTTACTTTAACTTTTTTGAAATCTTGATGTTCTGCAGGGCTCAATTCAGATGCCACCTCCAACATGGGGCCCTTCCTGATCTCCCTCCCCCCCACCCCAGTTTTAGTGTCCTCACTCCTAAAAACTAAAAACAACTTTAATACATACATATACATATACATGCACACACACACACATATATATATATATATATATATGCAAAGAGAGAGAGTCTCCTCTCAGTAGAATGTAAAAATAAGAGATGTTTGAGGTTTTGTTTTTTGTTTTTAATATCTCTTTTACCTAGCATATACTTTGCATCCAGTAGGGGCTTAATGTTTAGTGAATTGAACTCAATTAAATTGAAAATGGAATGAATTGGGTTTGTGTGGAGTCCATTAGAGGATGTAGTTTCAAACACTGACAACAAGAGTGACCTTGGACAGATCACTTCCTTTCTCTGGGCTTCAGTTTCCTCATTTGTAAAATTAGGAGGCTAGACTAGATGACCTTTCAAATACCTACCAGTTCTAGATTTATGATCCCATCTTCCCTTGATCAATCCCAGCCTTCTGATAATATGAATAAAATGAAAGAAATAGGAGTAGGTAATTTTTGGTCTATATTAAGTAAAATAAGCTTTTTTTATAAATAGGAGTTTGTAATTATATATTCTAACGTCACCCCCATAGTTCTCAGAAAGGAATTCCACCCTGCTTTGCTTATCTCCATTCATCTTCCACATAGACCAGAGTAGCCAGGTGGGATCAAATCCTGACTTCCTGGGTCTCACTCCCTAACCTCAAGCCTATAAAACCAGTAAAATGGCAGTATTGGACCGGAAGATGCCTAAAGCCTGTCAACCAATGACTGACCCATCTTCCTCCACCTCTGCATGCTAGTTGCTTTTTTTTTTCATAGCAAGGGAGCGTGCCAACAAAGGGGAGCATTTCTTTCCTGCCTTTAAAAACCAGGCAAGCAAGCAAACTCATGGAACCCTGGGGCAGATGGCAGTCAGGTTCACAGGTCTCAGAGTACTCTTCTCAGTTATCCCCAAACTTCATTCCCTGTGTCTTTTGCAGCTCCAAAAGCAGCTGTCTGAGCTGGACGAGGATGATCTGTGTTATGAGTTTCGGCGAGAACGCTTCACGGTCCATCGTACCCATCTCTACTTCCTGCACTATGAGTATGAACCCACCTCAGACAACACGGATGTCACCCTTGTGGCTCAGCTCTCCATGGACAGGTATGGAGGGAACCTTCCCACACTCCCAGAGCTTCAAAGAGATGTAGGGACAGTAGAGAGGGCACTGGACTGGGTTCAAATGTCATCCGGTACTTCTATTACCAGTGCAGCTTTGGGGCCTGTGGTTTACATCTGTAAAATAAGATATTTGAACTAGATGGCCTCTAATAGATGAAGATATTCCTTCTATCTCTAAATCTATAATCCAGTGCAGCTACATAGATAGAACACTGACCCTGAAGTCAGGAAGACCTGAGTTCAAATATGGCCTCAGATCAAACACTTGACACTTACTAGCCGTGTGACCCTGGGCAAATCACTTAACCCTAATTGCCTAAAAAATAAAAAATAAAAAAAATCTATAATCCTATGAAACATTTAAAATACTCACAAAGTCATGTGACTGTTGGTCTTTACATGAATAGACAGGTATAAAGTAGAGTGACCTTTGAGTGCCTGTGGTATTTAGGCATGAGTGACAAGGACTCTGGTCAGAATGGATGGATGGATGGATGGATGGATGGATGGATGGATGGATGGATGGATGGATATACAGTATTAAGTACATTTATTTCGTGCACTTAAAATGCACTTAAGTGTATTTTCTTTTTTCTCCTCTTAATCAGAAGATACTTACTAAACAGGAGAGCAACATAAAAGCCCATAAACCTGAATCTCACTCTCCCACCAATTCATTAAGTGCATTTTCTTAAATGTACTTTATTAAGTATTTATCAAGTATTTAATCTATGCCAGGTGCTATGCCACATGATTGGGAATGCGAATACAAAACCAAAGACAATCCCTGTCCTCTAGGAGCTGTTCTGGTGGGGAAGGTAAAGGCAAGAGAGAAAACAAAATGGTAGCGCAGTAGCCCAGGGAAGGGTATTTGGGTTTGGAAAGTTACAAGGATAGTGAGTGGAGCCATAGGGACGTAGATTGACACACTTTCTGAGTAGTTACTGCAGTATTGATTTGATTGTGATTTCAGAACTGGCAAGCAGAGTAAAGCCAAAGGCAGTGTGACAGTAAAGCAAATGGTGAGAAGGTAACTGAGACGTAAGCTAAGCATGATTAGTGCCAACTTGGATGTATAGAACTGCATGTGGCTCTCATCCATCAGGCCAAGGGGGGCCAAGATGGGAATTCTGAAGATGAAAGTGTTAAGGGCTGTAGGGAATGATCCACTGGTCTGGGTACCACAGTGACAGTAAGACAATGGTGAGATGAAACATGGTGGCGTGTGAATTAGATGCAGTGAGCTACTAACCAGTTAGGAGAACAGGACCCCTATTGTCTCAAACCGGAAGCCAAAGCCGTTGAGCTGTGGGGACAGAACAGAAGCAGCTGTGTTCAAAAGCCATGAAAGAGCACTAGCCTCACTCTTGATCTGGCGATACCTGTTGACTGAATCTAAGAGCAAGGTGATACTGGATATCTGGGTATAGTTGGCCTGGTCTGTCATACCTAGGAACTAGATCTGGGTGTTTTGCAAAGCAGGAGAATGAGAGAGATGAGAGTTCATCGTGGCAGAGCAATGTGCCTCTGGGGAAACTGGTTACCTCTGTGGCTTTCTATGTGTGTCCATGTTTGTGCTCCCCCATGTCAGGTGTGTCCCTGTGATGAATCTCAGGCAATGGTGTATGCTACAAGTTCTGAAGAGCAGTAACTGAAGAGTTGACTCTTTGTCAAAAATGTCAGTGATGATTGTATCCTTGACAACATCTTTTGAGTCTTTCATTTCTCTCAGGCTTGCCTAGATTGTGGTCATGAGAACCTGGCAGTCAGAGACCTTAAGACCCTGACATTTCTCTCTCATACTTTCACCAGCATTTATACATACAAACATACATCCATCCTCCCCCCAAAAAAGTCCATATTAAAGTGAAACAGATTGAGACTGGAGAGTGACGGTCTGCTTGGAGAAAGGAGGTTAAGAGAATAAGAAAGGGGAATTGGAAGCCCTTCCAATCATGCCATTCCTATTAAACCATTCCAGCTCCAACATGGAATGGACTGGATCGTAGCTTTCCACCATTTCCTAGGAATTGTATTGTGACTAATGTACTCATCCAAAGAGACAGAGGAGAAGCTCTGTGCTTTGTTGTCCTTCATTTGTTTGGTTGTTTTTTTCACCAGTTTTGTTCTGCTAGGTTTCTCAGTTAGTTTTCGCTTTCGGACCCAGAATTTACAGTGAAAGATGAAGCAGAGAAACCTTGTAAATATGGTCTTCAAACAAATCAGCCCATATGATTCTTATTGCTTCTCAATCCATCCTCGTCCTCAGAGGTTATGGAAACTGCAGCACAGTAGAAAGACTGCTCATCCTGTTATCGGATGACTGGGGTCAAATCTCACCTGTGAGGCATACAACCTTGGTGACCCAGAACAAAACAGCCCACCTTCCTGGGCCTCAGTTTTCTTTTCTGTAAGATGAGGTTATTAGCCTTTAAAAACCTCTAAGTTCCCTTCCAGCTTTAAATTTGTGATCCTATGAACCGATGATCTTGTTTTAACAGGGCCGAGGAGGAATAATTTAGGGGAAGCTAGATGTTGCAGTGGATAGAATGCTGGCCCTGGAGTCAGGAGTACCTGAGTTCAAATACAGCCTTAGACACTTACTAGCTGTGTGACAGTGGGCAAGTCACTGCACCCTGTTTGCCTCAGATTCCTCATCTGCAAAATGAGCTGCAGAAGGAAATGGCAAACAGCTCCAGTATCTTTGCCAAGAAAATCCCAAATGGAGTTGGATATAACTGAATAACAAGAAAAGGGGGAATAAATCCCTGCATTAGGAGTCAGAACACCTAGGTCTAATCCCAGTAATGCTCCATTCACTGTGCCATCTTGGAGAACTCATTTAGAATCATGTAATCATAGAACATCTCCCCCCAAAGCCTTAAAAAGTCTCAGAGGTCACCTAGTCCAAATGTACCTTAAAAGGCAGTCCTCAAAACAGCCATTCACCTTCCATTTTAACATGCCCAGGATCCAGGATCTCTCTACCTCCGGTGACAGTTCATTCTCCATTTGAGAGGAACGGGACCTCTCCAGCTAATTTATCCTAGATGCCTGCCTTTTAGGCAGGTTAAGTGTCAACCTCATTTTCCTGAGTATACAGTTGAGGCAGGGAGAGATTAAGTGACTCGTTCATGTTCATACAGTTATTAAGTCCTAAAGGGGGCACTCAATTTACGTCAGCTTCCTCTTGGGGTAATACTCTTTCTGCCAAAGAAATGGCTTTTACACACACCTATAGGCATGTTAAGAGTCAGTAGAGCATAGAGTGTTGGACTTGGAAGTGTGTTCAAATCTCACACACTAGCTGTGTAGCCATGGGCCAGTCTCTTAATTTCTGTGAGCCTAGTGTTTCTTGTCTGTACCTACCTCTCAGGGTGGTTGTACAACTACAATGAAATCATGTATATAAAGAGGTTCATACCCTTTGGAGTGTCTGGTATCTGCCCATTCTTGTGGTTAGTTATTTGCGTTCATCTTCTCTCTCTCCCTGTAGGGTGATCTCCCTCCCAGCAGGGTCTATGGTTTATCCATCTCTTAGAGAGGTAACACACACAGAACATGGGACTTGGAATTCCAAGGGACTGGGTTTCAATGGTTATTGGTGGTGTTTGTCCTTCATTCTCAAAGAAGACCCTGACATCAGGAAGGCGATGCCATCACTTGCAAATGAATTGGACTTAGGTGAGAGAGGGCTGCGCAAAGTCACCAGCCTCACTTTCTCCTCCCATCTGGGTCTAGTGCCAAGATATAGATCAGGATGACTGGAGATGGCCATTCGAATGGTACAATTTTGGGCAAGTCATGAACATGGGCCTCGTCTTCTGTATATTAAAAAAAAAAGGAAAGGATTAAGGAAGTAGTTTGGTATGAGGGAAGAACATGGAATGGAGTGAAAAGACTTCAATGTTAGACGTGTTTGTGCTTCTCACTCCCTCTGTGACTCTGGGCAAGTTTTTTCCTCTAGATCTCATTTTTGTCATATGTAACGTAGAGGTAGATGAGCTCCGTTGAGCTTGGAAAGCGCGCGTTGCAATAGATAAAACAGAGATGGGGCAGTGCTTAGAGCACCAGACCTGGAATCAGGAAGACCTGAGTTCAAATTCAGCCTCACACTCTAATAGCTGTGTGACCACCCTAGGCAAGTCATTTGCCCCCTGTCTGCTTCAGTTCTGTCTTCTGTAAGATAAGGATGACAATGGCAACCATTTCCCAGGATTATTGTGAGAATTCAGTGAGATAATATTTGTAAAGCACTTTGCAAACCTTAAAGCATGTGCTAGCTATTAGTGCTAGCTATTAATATTATTACTATTATTAGGCAGCTAGATGACACAGTTTATAAAGTGCTGGGCCTGCAGTCAGGAAGAACTGAGTTCAACTCTAGCCTCAGACACTAGCTGTATGATCATAGGCAAGTTACTTAATCTCTGTTTGCCTCAGTTTCCTCATCTGTTAAAAGGAAATAATAATAGCACCTATTCCCATGGTTATTTTGAGGATAAAATGAGATGATAATTATAAAGTGCTTAGCACAATGTCTGACACATAGTAACTACTATATAAATGTTGTCATTGTTGTTAGACATCGGGCTAGAGGCAGACATATCTTGATTCAAATTCTGCCACAGCACTTACTAATTGTGTCACGCTGGGCAAGTTAACCTCTCTGTGCCTGAGTTTCCTAGTCTATAAAAAGAGGGCTTTAGACTGGATGGCCTCTCCAAGTATCTGTCCTGTGATCTATTGTCCCTCCTGCTTTTGATATTCTGTGGATGGTGGTTTTCCTGGAATTACTTGTCACAGGGTTGTCCGAAGGAAAGTTCTTTGGAAACCTTTAAGTCCTGGAGAAATGAGAGTTGGCGCTGGTATCTCATGTGCTCTCTGGCTGGTGAAAAGGAAGAGAGCATCCCCTGCCCCTAAAGTTTCCCTTGGCCAGGTCCCCGCCCCCTCCCACGGCATCCGTGGAAGGGACCTCATCC